GGCACAAAGAAATAGAAAAATAGAAAATATTCCTGAACAATAAGATTAATCAAAATTGGTTTGTGGAACAATCTGGAAAAAAATAAGAAAATTTCATGTGCCATAACATCAAAAAAGAATAAAATACTTAGGAAAATGTCTAACAGAAGAAACGCAAGGCTTTAACACCGAAACCATGAAACATGGAAAGAATTTTAAAAGACCTGCAGAGGGTGGGCAGAACCTGCGCTGACGGCGGGCTTCGGGGCTGCCCACCCTCACCTTCCTCCCGAGGTTAATCGTGGACCTGCTGGGGTGCCCACTCTCCCTGGGAGGACACCCCCGGGTTGGGAGCTCTTTTGGACACCCGCTGCCCACGCCTTCCGCACCTGGCTTTCCTGAGGGTCTTCAGGGGCCACTCCAGTTTCCAGTCTTTCAGGGTCTGTAGCAGCCACTGGTGTTCTGGTGGCATCGATGCTTTTAAATAACCACGTCCAGAGGCAGCTGACAAGGGCGTTACCTGTGGACAGAAACAATGCCAGGACTTCCGGGAGCTCCTGACCAGGAATGAGCTGCAGGAAACGAAATCTCTTGCTACAATTAGTTCATTTTTCTTTATTTTAATTTTTTTCAGTTGTACAACCAAGTGGCCTTTGTATCAGGATGCAATTCTTCATGAATTTATATTTCTCTCTATTTTGATGGGATAAAAGTGCAAGGAATGAGTGATGTCACCTGTAACAAATCATGGGACCAAAAGCTGCACTGAAGGTTTTAAAAAAGGAAATACTCAGACTTTTATAAAATGTTCCAGGATGAGCAGCTAGCAGAAAAACTGAATATTCTAACCAGGCTGTTTTTAATGACATGATAGCGATAAAATTGGAAAGGGTTTATTTTTTTATTTTTTATTTAGGAGTAAAACTTAGCAAAATAGTAAAACTTAAGTGACAAGTGTGCAAGAAAACCTTTCCTGTCTCAGTGACCTGCCAGAGGGTTTTTAACTTTATTGATCTGAAAACCTAAGTAAAGAAGCACACTATGTCATATGTCAATGTGGGGGAATATTCTTTAATATTTGATTTGTGGACAACAGGGGCACATGCTGACCTGAAGCTCAGGGGAGGCCTGCGTGGCCGTCTTCCAAACTCAGACCTAAAGTCACCACAAGAACGATCTGAAATTAAACTGTAACTGAATGCAGTGATGGTGGGCAGTCACCTCCTAGGCTGGTATTTTCACTGACAAGATTAACCTTTACCTTAACTGTCTTTTTGCATCTGTGATAACACACCCTTAAAATGTCTGGGTAACTTATAACTTCCCTTTTTCCAGGCCCCTTGGGGCATAACCTAATGTACTGAGTGCCAGGACAGAGACCACAAATTCCTTCGTTGTTTTCTATTTATTTTTAAAATATATTTTATTGATTTTTTACAGAGAGGAAGGGAGAGGGATAGAGTTAGAAACATCAATGAGAGAGAAACATTGGTCAGCTGCCTCCTGCACACACCTTACAGCGGATGTGCCCACAACCAAGGTACATGCCCTTGACCGGAATTGAACCCAGGACCCTTCAGTCTGCAGGCCTACGCTCTATCCACTGAGCAACCCGGACAGGGCCATTGTTACTGTTGTCATGTTAATTGTTGCCTGTTAACTATTTAATACCCACCTAAGTAATGTGTCTATCATTTTACTTTTGATCCAATCCCAGAGGTTCCCTCTTCCCCCCTGTTTTTCCGCCTCCCTAACCTCTTACCAATGGATTTTGAGTAACCCACCTATGTCCCTTCCTTTGACTGTTATGTATAAAACAAGGTGAAGAACTGCCATTCTCCGGAGCACTATTCCTATCTGTTGAGGTTCTGCTTCCTGGCAATTGTCAACAGTTTGGCTCAAATAAACTCACAAAAATTATTTACAGGCTTGGATATTTTTACATAACAAATTGTGGAATCTAGAATTTAATGTCATCACAAATGTGTAGGGGCTGCATGAGGTCATCCCTGAGGGAATCTCCTGTTATCAAAGTGCTAATGTAAAAACCATGGAAACCTGTAAAGAATTTTGTGAGTTTATTGGAGCAGAACGGTCGACAGTTGCTGGGATGCAGAACCTCAGTAGATTGGGATGATGCCCTGGAGAATGGCGGGTTACATCTGTGTTTATACATTGCCATCAAAGGAGGGACGTAGGTGGGTTACATGAAATTCATTGGTGATGGACTACAGAGGTGGGAGAAAGCAAAGCAGGGAAACCCCTGGGATTGGATAAAAGGTAAAATGATGGACACATACTTAGGGGTGCAGGAACAATTAACATGATAATGAAGGAATTGGTGGCATCTGTTCTGGTGCCCAGCACATTAGATTTTGCCCCAGGGAGTCTGGAAAAAGGGAAGTTACAAGTTACCCAGACATTTCACGGGTGTGTTATCATAGATGCAAGAAGACAGACAGGCTCAGTTAAGGTAAAGGTTGACCTTGTCAGTGAAGATACCGGCCTAGGAGGAGACTGCTCACCATCACTGCGTTCAGTTACAGTTTAATTTCAGACCGTCCTTGTGGTGACTTTAGGTCTGAGTATGCAAGACGGCCATGCAGGCCTCCCCTGAGCTGTCAGGTCAGCACATGCCCCTTCCGTGCACAAAATGTAGGAGCTTTTAAAGGATAATATAATTTATTTCCTCAACTGTTTCTCTTTGCGTTACTTCTTGGCTTTTCTCAAGAGATTAGAGGCAGGAAAAGGAGGCGGGCTGCTGTCGACTCGGATAGTCCTAACTGCTGTCGCCATTGTTGGAAGATCAGCCGAGCTTTGTCTGTGAGACACACTTGGGAATGTCAAAGCAGAAAGCACGAGCGTGGCCAGACCCTGTTTTGGACACGGGGGTCACCTCGATCCGACAGGACTAGGGGCTTAGCTGGTGCTTCAGGGAGGATGGAGGCCAGGTGGCGGCTCTGGGAGGCAGGTCTCTGTGCACAGATGGCACAGGTGGTGAACAGACCTTCCCTTCCCCACTCTGGGAATAAGTCACGGTGCACAACTCACGCAACACCAGCCGTTCCTCCGTTTTCCGACAGCTGGAGTATCAGAAACCAGTGAGATCCCAGTGTCAGTGGCTGTCAGCTGGGAAGGAGGCAGAGGGACTGTGAGATCCACGTTTCAGAAAATCAGCCACAAAACAGAAAACTGGCCAATGTCAAATGTCTGGCTCGAGCGACGGCGCCCACGGGTGCTCTGCGACACGGGTGCTCCTGAGGCCGTGCGGTTGGCGACGCTGCGTAGAGAGGGCGTTACGCTCCTCCTCCCCCGTGCTCCGGCGCAGGCCGGCAGGAGGGCTGGTGGTTAACAGAGGCCTGAGCCGGCAGGAGGCCCCTGGGGACAGACATCTATGTCCCAGGACTCAGCTGCGAGGGCGAGGAACTGAGCGAGGGCCCCGCGGCTGCTGATTTGGGGACGGGCCCACACCCTCTCTTCTCCTCGGTTTAAACGTCCCTGTGTGGCCTGGGAAGCCTTCCCGGCCCCGTCCTCCAAGTCAGCAGCCATGGAGGGCGCCGGGAGCGGAGAGGAGCCGCAGCGCAGGAAGGGCCGGTGACCACCTGCCCGGGGCAGGCCTCGCTGAGGGGACCCTCCGGGGGGCACTGGTGCCTGCAGGGAGCATGGGCAGGGAGTGCCCCCCGAGGCACAGGCCGACTCGGCCTCTCGCTCTTCTTCCTCTTGACTCAGTGGAAACCTCGGACAGACCGGAGGGAGATGCAAACCCTTGGCAAAGGCGAGTGTGCTGTGGCAGACGCACCGTCAGCCAGCTCTCGGGGGAGAGTGCCCTTTACTTCACAGACCAGTCAACTCCGGGCCCAAGGCCTGAACTCAACTTGTGGGGAGGCCCTGACCTTCATCTCTCCTCCCGGGGCGCCCCGAGGGCCCCCAGCCCCGCCGAGTCAGTCAGAGGGGAAGAGATGCTGAGCTAGGCTGCAAGCCCGTTCCCCTCAGTCAGGGCAGGCTTCTGTGTGCTGCGAGGCCGGAGCACCAGCGCGCACTGAGGTGCCGTGAATTTGTCCTTGTGTCCGGAGGCCCGGGCGGGTGGTAGTGGTATAGACGCCTCCAGAACCACGGCAAGACGGCAGGCCTGGACGGCCACCGGTGGAGTCGGTCCAGAGGAGGCAGCTACTGGGGTGGTCTGTACAGGAGACGGCCATCAGAAGAATCATTGGCAAAGGACCTGACGGGCTGGGCACTGGGGGCCGTCCTGGCCGGTGTGCACGGGTCGCTGGGGCCTCACAGGGTGATCAGGCTTAACCAGCTGTGGATGGAAACACATGAGGGGAGACTGGAGCAGTGACAGAGCTGAGCCACACACCTCCTTAAAGAAGCGGGTGCGCCCTGGCCAGTGTGGCCAGCTGGTCGGAGCATCGTCCAGTACACCACAAGGTTGCAGGTTCAATTCCTGTCAGGCACATGCCCAGGCTGTGGCTTCCATCCTGGTGGGGCAGCCAATCAATGTCTTTCTCTCTCTCTCCTTCATGTTTGTCCCTCCCCCTGTTCCCTTCTCTCTCCTAAAACTCAATAAAAGACATGTCATCAGGTGATCACCTTTAAAATCATAAGTTTTTAAAAACAAAAGGAAATTGTGCGCAGCAGCGGGTGACAAGCCTCCACCAGGCTCCGGTGTCGGGAAATGGAGGAGGTGCTTCCCTGGTGGGGACGCCCGTCCCGTCCCCGCGGGCCCCCAGGAGTGGAGCCCCAGGAGCGGGACCCCCAGGAGCGGGACGCCAGGAGCAAGATGCCAGGAGCGGGACCCCAGGAGCGGGGCGCCAGGAGCGGGACCCCAGGAGCGGGACGCCAGGAGCAAGATGCCAGGAGCGGGACCCCAGGAGCGGGGCGCCAGGAGCGGGACCCCAGGAGCGGGGCCCCAGGAGCGGGGCCCCAGGAGCGGGACCCCAGGAGCGGGGCCCCAGGAGCGGGGCCCCAGGAGCGGGGCCCCAGGAGCGGGACCCCAGGAGCGGGGCCCCAGGAGCGGGATGCCAGCAGCGGGGCCCCAGGAGCGGGCCCCCAGGAGCGGGCCCCCAGGAGCGGGGCCCCAGGAGCGGGGCCCCAGGAGCGGGACCCCAGGAGCGGGGCCCCAGGAGCGGGATGCCAGCAGCGGGGCCCCAGGAGCGGGACGCCAGGAGCGGGACGCCAGGAGCGGGATCCCAGGAGCGGGGCCCCAGGAGCGGGCCCCCAGGAGCGGGACCCCAGGAGCTGGACGCCAGCAGCGGGACCCCAGGAGCGGGGCCCCAGGAGCGGGACCCCAGGAACAGGGCCCCAGGAACAGGGCCCCAGGAGCGGGGCCCCAGGAGCGGGGCTCCCAGGAGCGGGACCCCCAGCAGCGGGACCCCAGGAGCGGGACCCCAGGAGCGGGGCCCCAGGAGCGGGGCCCCAGGAGCGGGGCCCCCAGCAGCAGGGCCCCCAGCAGCGGGACCCCCAGCAGCGGGACGCCAGGAGCGGGACCCCAGGAGCGGGACCCCCAGGAGCGGGACCCCAGGAGCGGGACGCCAGGAGCGGGGCCCCCAGCAGCGGGCCCTCAGGCCTGCCGCTATTTCCTGGCAGAGGCCTGAGTGGGAATGAGTGACGCAGAGGGTGCCCTAGCGCTCAGCGCTGAAGGACTGCTCTGTTAAATCAGTGCACACAGGAAATCTGCTCGAACAATCAATGTCTCATAAAAAGTTTCCATTATTTAGCAAAATTCGGTTGTGCGTAAACCTTGTTGAGAGGAAGACTTCTTAACAGGAGTCACAAAAGCACTGGCTCCGGGAGCGGCTGCTCTGGCCGCAGGAAGGGGCTTCTGTGCGGAGACGCTGAGGAGGGGCGGCCCGTGAGAGCAGAGCGAGTGCTGCTGCCTCTGGACACCGCACGCAGCGCGGCCGGCATCGGAACACGGCCCAGCTGTGACGAGCATCGAGCACTCTGTCCCGGAGCACCTGTCCTCCGATTTGCTTACCGCAGACTTTAGGAGGATCCCACCCCAGGGGCTGGAAATCAGAAAGGTTGCCTTTGGGGTGATGCAAATTGGAGGTGTCAGATGGGCTGATGGGGTGGGCAGCGTTTTATTTCTTTTTAAAATATATTTTTATTTGTTTGAGAGAAGAAGGGAGCGGGAGACAGAGACAGAAACATCAGTGATGAGAGAGAATCCTTGATCCGCTGCCTCCTGCACACCCACCAGCACCCGGGATCGAGCCTGAAACCCGTGCCCAAGCGGGAATTGAGCCGGTGGCCTCCTGGTTCTGGGTGGAGCTCAGCCGCTGGGGCAGCATGTTTGGTTCCAGACGGGGGTGGGGGGTGGGCGGTCCGCAGATGTGTTCACATGGCGGCCATGGAGACGCCGCTTCTGTGCACGTCCCGCATGGCTTCAGTCATCCCTTGCTCCGGACCAACCGCCCGACTCCGTGGTCATGTCCTCCTGCCACGAGTCCAGCTCTGTGCAGGCGACGGGCGCGCTGTCTCCGGGCTGGTGTGACGAGGGGGGTGCTTGGGATGGGATTATCTGAGGACACTCGTGAGTGAGTGAAGCAGGTCATGCTGGCTGCGGGCGGGAAGCACCATCGCCTTTCCCCGTGGCTCTGGCCTTTCTCATGCTCAGTGGCTGTGTCCCGCGGGTGGCTGGGCCCCACGGGTGGCTGAGTTCCATGGGTGGCTGGGTCCCACAGGTATCAGATCCAGAGCAGGGATGTGGACCCCTGCTGGGTGGGAGGAAGGCTTGTGACCTGTCGGAAGAGCCTGTGAGATGGAACCAGGCAGCCCGTGAGTCCAGGCTGCCTGCCACTACTCCAGCCCATTCAGCAGAGGCAGGGTGCATTACACATGAGCGTTTATTCCAATCCTGCCGGCAGCGTGGGGAGCAGCGGGTCTCCCACAGACATCTGCCCTGCCCCCACCATGAGAGGCTGCTTATGGGGTGACAAAGACTACCTGGGGAGTAGGAAGTACAGCCTAGGGAGTGGGCAATGTGGGCTGAGCGGGACTCCACTAACAAGGTTGTTAATCTTTCCATGACAACAGGCAGTTCTGGAATGAGAATGGACCGAACTCCAAGCCCGAGGCTGATGGCCAGGTGCCAGGGCGTACCACTCCCAGCCAGCTCAGAAGGCCCTGTCATTAATCAGAACAAGGTAGCCACAGAGCATGATTAATAATTCTGATAACTATAGCTAGTCCCAGTACTCTATTTTCCCCCATAACAAGATGGAATGTATCATCTGGGTTTTCTGGAGAAAATACAATTTGCAGCAAAGAAATGTCAAGTTAAAAAATAGAACAGCAACCCCTGGTGGTCATTTTAGAGTCTTCAGAGTCCATATTGATGACCGGAGGCCAGGGTTTCCCTGGGTGGAGTCTGGAGATGCCAAAGAATAGAATTGCAGACAGGAAGGTTCCAGCAAAGGTGGGAACATCTATTACAAGTAGATTCAGACACCCTGCATGGGGAGGGGCCCAATAATGGGTTGTGTGTATGACAGGGGCCAAGTGCTGACCTGACAGCTCAGGGGAGGCCTGCATGGCCATCTTGCAAACTCAGACCTAAAGTCACCACAAAGGAAGGTCTGAAATTAAACTTTAACTAAATGCAGTGATGGTGGGCAGTCACCTCCTAGGCCGGTATCTTCACTGACATGGTCAACCTTAACCTTAACTGAGCCTGTCTGTCTTCTTGCACCTAAGATAACACACCCTTGAAATGTCTGGGTAACTTGTAACTTCTCTTTTTCCAGACCCTTTGGGGTAAACCTAATGTGCTGAGCTCCAGGACACATGCCACCAATTCCTTCATTATCATGTTAATTGTTCCTGCACCCACCTAAGTATGTGTCCATCATTTTCCTTTTTATCCATCCCAGGGGTTTCCTTGCTTTCTCCCTCCTCTCTGGTCCATCACCAATAGATTTCATGTAACTCACCTATGTCCCTCCTTTGATGGCAATGTATAAACATAGATGTAACCCGCCATTCTCCGGGGCATCATCTCAATCCACTGAGGTTCTGCTTCCCGGCAACTGTCAACCGTTCTGTTCCAATAAACTCACCAAATTCTTTACAGGTTTCCATGGTTTTTACATTAACATTACTTGTTGTAGTCAGCAGATTCCAAAGAAGCTCACCCAGGACCATCCCTTGGACATGGACTTGGTGCTAGGATCCAGCAAAGGGCCCTTTGAGCCCTCCAGTTCTCTGCCCATTGGGTAGACTTGGGTGAGTGGTATCTTAGATCCTGGACCTTCCCTGGCTTTAGTAGAGGGTCTGACTTTATTTGAGCTGTGTTTTAAAATCCTCGAGGTGGAACCATGGTTTTTCCTGGAGGAAAAAATGGGTAGCTGGTTTTGTTTTTGGCTTTTCAATTGGAATTGTTGAGAGTCTGAGCAAAAAACCTTTGCCATATAAATAAGCTGAACTCATTCAGCTCTGAAGATAAAGGGGCCTTGCTCCAGTCAGATTTTGGGGTGTTCTTAGGAAGTATCAGAAGTGCAGAAGCCTCATAGGGAAGTCCCAAATCAACTTAAATTAACTGAATGGCTCATCTAGGGAGCCACCATAAGGCTTGGTCTGCCTGGCTCTCGCCTTTCCTGTAGTTTTAGACAGCCAGGAGAGAAACTGAGGCCATACTTGATCGACCCCCTACATAACATGTCTAGAAAGTTTGCTCAGAATACAGATATCCAAAAATAAAAACTAAAAACAATTTACATGGGAAATTGTGCCTCCAAGGCCAGAAGCTCCCAAACCCCAGCCCTCATTTAATACTCCTGATAGGAAGCCTTTACTTGCAAGTATTTTATAGAAATAGGAAGATTTAACTAGAAATATAAACTGAGAAATAGCCAAAATGCAGTTTGTTTTGGGTACCCACATTAATATTTTGCATGCAGAAATTAGAAAATGCCGGCTCTGAAATTAAACTGAATGAATATATGGGAAGCATATCTTGATTTGGAAATTAGGAGCTTCTGAGGAAAAGCATAAAAACAAAAAACAAACAAACAAGCAAAAAAAAAACACAACTCTTCCAAAATGATGGCAATTATTAGGAAATTTTTAGAGGCTGTCTCAGAACTATTCTGGAGTTAATAAATGCCTGCACCCAGTTTCCCCCTGTAGGAAGCATGCCTGGTTTATCTCCGTAGAAAAGAAACAGCATGTGGCCAGCATGACTGAATTCCCCAGAGCAAACAGGATGTGGGGTGGGGAGAGGGTATGAGCGTACACGTGGCGACGGTGCAGGTCCTGGGATGATTCCCCTAGACCTGGGCTAAGGGCGGCAGAGGCAATAGAAAAGGCCCCAGCCCGTTAATTACCAGGCCGCTTGCCTCTCGCCTTTATTCTGATCCTGTAAAATGGGTGCCTGCTCTCAGGAGAGTTATTAAAAGTCTCATTTTCACCATGTTTTTGTTTCCTAGTCCATCATTTGAAATTTAGAGGGGTAAGCCATTTCTCACAATTTGGGGTGCATCAGGGACTTCTGTGCCTGTGGAGAGGGAAGGGCTGGTGTAAGCGGAGGCCCTGCCTGATCTTGGGTGGCCCCTGGCCTGAGCATGGTCCATTTCTTCACGGTGCTGTAGAACAGGCCCGAGACTGCTTTCCATCGGACGATGGAGAAAGTGACACGAGGCGAACATACCCACGGCCACCAGGCACGCCACAGGCATAAGCCAAAACAGCATCCTGGGCTGTATTACGCTCAGGTCCCAGGGGAAGGGACTCCCCGCAGGTTGATTTCCCTTTGAACAGAAAGGACAACCATGATTAACATCGTAATTAATATTTCCCATAACCATAACTAGTCCCCAATGTTCTATTTTTTCCCATAACACTGGGAGGTACGGATCTGTAGAAGTACCCTCTAGCAGAGAAGGTGGGGGCACTCCTGTTTTTAAAAAGGAAAATAAAATGAAATAGTACTTTCTCATTAAAGCTACTGAAGGCTGGTGAGTTATCCCTGTTACAAAATTGGTCAAGAAAATACTTGAGGTGATAATTGGCTTTAAAATCTCAAAGTTGTTAAGATGTAATAAATAAACGTAACTAAAATGAATGGTTTCTGATTAAATCCTTTCAGTGATAATCCAAAGAATATTAAAATTACATTTGTCACCAATAGTTGGCCTGACATCTCAAGAAAACTACAAACATCAGAGAACTGGAAGGAGAGAAATGTAAAAAGCTACTAAAAGAGGCTGCAGAGCTGAAGCCGGTTTGGCTCAGTGGATAGAGCGTCTGCCTGCGAACTGAAAGGTCCCAGGTTCTATTCCGGTCAAAAGCATGTACCTTGGTTGTGGGCACATCCCCAGTGGGGGGCTTTGCAGGAGGCAGCTGATCAATGTTTCTCTTTCATAGATGTTTCTAACCCTCTATCCCTCTAACTTCCTCTCTGTAAAAAATCAATAAAATATATTTTTAAAAAAACAACTAAAAAAAAATAAAGGGCTGCAGAGCCTGCTCCCTCCCCCCTCTGCATTTTCTCCAGCCTCATGTGCCTAATTAGTAACTTAAAAGCTTTAGACTATTGCTGGGTTCAATAGTAAATAATAATAATAATGATGATAATGATAATAATAATAATAAT